TGGTTGGACTGGTAATATGAGCATGATAATTGGCCAATGTTTATTATGCTTGCTATGAAATTAATTGATGTAGACATTTATTTATGTTCTCTCAATTGTACGAATTTTGGGGATAAATTGATATTTACATATACTGTTGTATTGTCAATTGCTGAATTTTTTGTTGTGTAGTGTAAAATCAGCATATTAAAATACATAACTTTGATATGCTTATTATGGAAAAATTGATGTTTAAATTTAATATTTTTATTCTCAATTGTTGGATTTATGGATTAGTTGATATTTACATACATGGACTGTATTATCAACTGCTGGATGGATGGATTGTATGTACCGGTATGGGATGGTGGCATACTAGGGACGGATTAGTTTAAAAATACTAAATCCTACCTATACGGAATAAGGGAATGAATTATAAAACAAATCCTACTTATATTTAAGTCAAAGAAGCTGCACAAGCTGAATGACTAGCTGGATTGCTTTTGGATTGATAAGATAGGACTTTAAGTATATATTTTTGGTATCGTGATATGAGCTTGAGTCTTAGGATCGACGGTTAGGGAGCGTATATGCAGTAGGATGCGTAGCTAGCTATGTTGGTTGAGGTATACCATGTTTAGGCTTAGGTACTCATGCACACTCAGGTGCGTTTTGCATGTTGCCTCCTGTTCAGGTTGAGACCCTCTTCATAGTCCAATGAGAGTTCCGTAATGTGGATATATATATGTACAGACTACATAGCTATTGTTGAGTTGTTTAGGATATACATGCGTATCGAGTCTCTGTTCGGATTGTAATAGGATAGAACTTATTCGTGAGTCTGACTCACTTCTATTTTTCAGGTATTCGACAGTTCCAGTCGTAGGCTTGATCGTGCTGAGTAGAGACTATCACTCACTCTTCCGACGATATAGGACTTCTCTCCGTGGTTTAGCTTTGGATGTTATTTCAGTTATTTACATTTCAGTTTGGATTTTTATTAGGGGTCCATTAGAGATGGATTCCCGAGTTGTTTAAACTGTTGGAGGTTTTGGAAGGATTTGGATTTTATTAATCTTTAATATTTGAGGATTTTATATTTAGAGATCTTTCAGCTTTTAATATTTATTCTTAATTCATTTTGCAATCTGTGTTCATTTTAAATATTAATTGTTTGATATTCCATCGGGTTTGGGTTTGGGACTGATCAACCCATGTCTCGGATCCAAGGGGTATCACACCACCACTCCCGCTACCACCACCACCTATACCACTGTGATAAGTGTACAAAACTTGTTAATCAAAAATAAATGTGTAATTAATCTTTTTTATTAAATAAATGTTCTTATCCATATTTTTTATGTTTTATAGGGGGCTGATTTCAAAATGAGAAGAAAATAATCAAAAATGGCAAAAATTATGGATGCAAAAGGATAAAAGTTTATTATTATTGAAGAAGAACACCATAAGCCTTGTAGGAGAGATGGTCCAATGCACAACCAACTTTTAAGAGGTCTCAACTTCAACACTTGAGTGAAACACAATTGCTCGATTTTTTATACACGACCAGTCGAATTCAAATTCAAAATTGGTACTCCATCAAATCAACAAATATCAATTCAAATTGGAAAGCAACAAGATTTTAGGAAGATTTTATGTACTTCTTTTGATTTTTTTTTGATTTTTTTATTTCCCCCCTCTATTTTAGTTTTCAAATTATTTTCTTTTTCCTTCCTAAATCCCTCTTTCTAAACTCTATAAATAAGGACATGTGTAGGGAAGTAGCGATGTACAGAGTTAGTGAGAGAAAACAATAAAGTGTTAGGGATTTTTATTGTCTTGCATTTTCTTTTCTTGTAATTTATTTTTCTCATCGATGAAAAATTATTCTATTTCTATGTTTTATTTTCTGATTGACATGCTAGCTTAAACACTCATCTCGAGTGAAAGATAAAACCACCATAGCTGACATGTAATTGAATTTCTTTAATGTCTTTTTTGTTTTTCCTCTTTAGAATATGTCTGTTATTCTTCTATTCTAAGTTTTAGATTGAAATAAAATTAGAGGAATGATTCTTCGTATTTGCCAAATAATAATAATTCGAATAATGCCTACTTCTATATACCAAAGATATACCAGATTAAATAAAATACTAAATGTTATAATGTATATAAGCAAGCGTTGTTTAACGCTACATTTTCCTTCATCTGTTCAAGTTGTAATTGGATTGATGAAGTGATTTGCTTATAGGAGGAAAATTGACAAAAACAAAATAAATTTGTTTATATGGACTGTAGTGGTGGATTCTCCTTCCTTGAGAATTTTCTTATTACTTGGTCAAAAGTTATTTACTTTTATTTGTTTTTTATTTTTAGTTTCATAATTCAAAATAAAAAATTTTTAATTTTTTTTTTTCCATCCCATAAATTCAAGTTTTGACTTAGAGTTCACGAAATCGCATCTTGAATGTGTGGTTCGACCCTACTTCTTTTATACAATTTTTAGTTTAGTTTTTGCAGGTTTTTCTTTATTTTTGTACAAAGTGTAGAGAATCAACGATAAATTCTAGAGATATACAATCGTCACGCTGCCGTTTTTCACCACTGCTACCACCGTCACTATCGTTGCCTTCTAACACCACCACACCGTCGTCGCCTCCACTGCCTTCCACTACAACCGCCACTACCACCGACTTCCATCATCGCCATTGGCTTCCACCACTTGCATCCGCTGCCACCGCCACCACCATCACCGTCACCTCCATTGCCTTCCACCACCATCTTTACACCACTGACACCTTCCACCATTACTACCAACATCACTGCTGCATCCTACAACCACAGCCATCACCGCTACCTTCCACCTCCACCATCTACACTAGTACCACCTTCCACCTCCACTTGTATTGTCACTGCCTTCCACCACTGCAAGCATTTCTTTAAAAAAAATTAATAGAAGAAAGTTATTTTGTTAATTTAATTCATTTGTCATTAAAAAGGGTATTTTAGAAAATTCGATTTAAAATTCATTTCATTCTAAATTTTAAAATTGTATAACAAAACATTATAATGATAATTATCATTTCATTTCTTCGTATTTCATATTTGCAACCAAATAATCGAATGAGAATGTTCATTTCATTCCCATTATAATTCCATTCCCATTTCCATTTCCATTTCATTCAATTCTATCATACCAAAAGCAACATTAGGGTCCGTTTAGTTAGATGTGAATTAATAGCGAAAAGTGAAAGTAAGTATAGTGAATGAAAGAAAATATTTTTTTCCATTACTATGATTGGGAAAAGGAGTGGTAGCTCCTTTTTTTTTTTTTTTTTTTTTTTTTTTTCCTAGTTGGGAAACACACATATACTGCCTTCACTAAGGTTCGAACCCCTAACCTCCTTTTAGGAAGTAGGAGCCTTGTACTGCTAGATCACAGGTCTATTGGTTAGCATAATTTATTAGCATAATTTATTACTCAAGAAAATTGTAGAAAATTACCATAATATTTTAGTTAGGTTTTGATAGAAGATAATGTAATGAAATGAAAAGAAAAGGAAGTAAACTTGTAGGCTGGTTTGGTTAGATGAAAACTAATAGTGAAAAGTGAAAGTAAAAGAAAATGAAGTTAATGAAAGGAAAATTAAATTTCCATCGTGTAGCATATATATTTTTGGGAAAATTCCTAATAAGTCTTACTTCTACAAAGACAAATAAGTCTTATGAAATATTTCTAAAGACAAAGAAGTTATACTTTCAAAAATTATTTACAAATAAGTCCAGATTCTATGAGTAATGAATATTTTTTTAAGATTGCCCTTTATTGCTAAGTTACTATTACTGTTTTTTTTTTTTTTTTTTTAGCAAAATACAAATTTTCTCTCTACTTTCAATAGTTTGTAACTAATAATTTTTATAAAAAGTATTTATTTGTTGCCAAAATAAATAATTCTAAAAAAATTAATAAAGTATGTCAAATACACTTTTCGTAAACACTCATATGTTAAAATATGAAGTAGAAAATTAAAAGATAATGGAAATAATTCGAAATGTATTTAATGAAAAGTTTTTCATTGTATTTTAACATGTCAGTAAAAGTGTATTTGAAATACTTTATTATTTTTTTTAGGATTATTTATTTTGGTAGCAAATAAATTTTTTTATTTTATAAAAGTTATTAGTTACAAAATATTGAAAGTAGAGAGAAAATTTGTGTTTTGGTAAAAAAAAAAAAATAACAATAATAGTGGGCAATTTTGGAAAAATATTCATTATTCATAGAATTTGGACTTATTTAAAAATATTTTTCAAAAGTAGGACTTATTTGTTTTGGAAGATTTCATAGGACTTATTTGTCTTTAGAGCTTAAATGTAAGACTTATTATGAATTTTTCCTATTTTTTATTAAATTATAAAAAATTACCATTTTATAATTTAAATAACATGAAACTTACTATAAAAGAAAATGCATAATTGAAAGTCCATCAACTTTCTTAAGCATATTTTTTTATTTGTAAAATTTTTATACGAGAAAGTTAGGTTCTTATGGCAAGTAATTTTTTCTCAAAATTTTATTTTTCCTACTAATCAAACTTTTAAATTATGCTATATATCTAACCAAAAGGTGAATCACTGTATTTGTTTAAAATTTGAGGATAAAAATAAAAGAAAATGGTGAGAAAAGAAAAAAATAAGCTTAACAGCTCATACAATATATTTTTATATCAGTCATAAAAATAAGAAAAAAAAGAAAAGGAATTTTTTTGCCACGTTTATGATTACCAAGTTTTGTTAAATTTTTGTTGGTGTCGATTATTTTCTTTTCCACAACCGTAACCGACCTTATTCAATTGGAAAGTAATACTTCTGGAAAAAAAAAAAAAAATGGAAATTAACACAAAGATTATGATTCGTTTCACACATATTCGGACCCACGTATATTATGCACGTTCCCCAAAAAGAACCAACCAAAACACACGTATCTTATACTTCCGTACACCCAACCGCACCAGATCCAAAAGACACCCCCATTGATCAAAAAGAGTCGTTTTCGCTGCTCTCTTTCTCTCTCTAGAAAACACGCACTCTCTCTCTACAAAACACACACCCTCTTGATCTCCGAGCATATCCCGGATCGGGTACTCTCACCCCCCACTCTCTCTCCTGTAACCACTCCCTTCGATATACGCGCCTCGAAGACCATTTCATTTTTCGCAATTCGACTCCACAGAAACAACCGATCTTCAAGAACATTGAGAGAATCGAACGAACCAACCAACGAACCAATTCTAGGGCTTTCCTTGACATGAAGTTATGTGCAGCGAATGCATTTCACTTGAATTTCCGCTCTTGAACAACGGTTCTGTTGCAGAACACGAATTCAAAGAGATCGAAGCAATCTCTGCAGGAAATGGCGGCTTCCCCTGCCAAATTCTTGTTTGGGTTCCTGCTCGTCTCAATTATACTCTGGCTAATATTCATGTAAGTTGCCAAGTCAACTTTCTCGTGATTCATACATATATAATTTAGACAGAATATACATATATGCATATATAAAGATGAATAATTGGTCTTTGTATTCATTCATACATATATAATTTAGACAGAATATACATGTATGCATATGTAAAGATGAATAATTGGTCTTGTATTAATTGGTTCAATGACGTTATTAATTTTTTGGTTGTTTAGGTGTTTTAGGGTCACATTGAGCTCACTTGTTCTAAAAAAGTGTTATCTTCTTTCTTATCGGTTTTGTAACTGGTTTGACTGGTGTGGGATGCTTTTGATGTTTGAATCTAGAAAGTGGCAACATTTAACAGCCATGTTAAATTGGGAGTATTCATGCCAGTGCTTGGAAAACTTGCTTGCGAGATAGAACACACTGAGGCTTATGGAAAGACAATTTTTTTAACTGTGTTGTGGGCTTGTAGGTCTTGTAACTGGTTTGATTGGTGTGGGATGCTTTTGATGTTTGAATCTATAAAGGGGCAACATTTAACAGCTATGTTGAATTGGGAGTATTCATGCTAGTGCTTGGAAAAACTTGCATGTGATATAGAACACACTGACTCTTATGGGAAAAGACAATTTTTTTAACTGTGTTGTGGGCTTGTAGGAAAATGTGGGATTAGATATTTGATGTGCTCATGTTGTGAATACTTCAACCTTCAGGTTAGCATCATAACGTGAAGAGTCTTATACTGATTGCTAAGTGCATTAAACATGAAGTGACCCTCTCACCACATCTCCCTTTAATGCAACCCTAACGGCTTTTTTGACATGGGACTCACAGATAAACAGGATGGTAGCAGAAATGTGATTAAGTCTATCTTGAGGGTGCTTATCATGAGCTTGCATCATTTGCCATTAGATGGAGGGGATAAACTCATCATCCTCTTTCACATGGTATAATTTTTGAAAGTTGAGAACTACTAGTTGAAGCATCTGTGCAGATGATCTTTCTAAAATACTTTAATGATTTATGTAAATGCTCTTTTGAAAATTCTGTAATGATTTATAGTTCATTATCTTCATTGGAAATAATATCGAGCATTCTTATTTAGAATTCTCAACTAATTATTTTATTTACAAGAGTCCCCCATTCATCATTTGACCAGCTATCATTGAAGCAAATGGGATCAATAATGGTGATCCACACGTATCTCTCAACTTTAAATTGTACATGATTCCACTTGACAAAAACTCATTCATTCGTCTGGTGCAAGCAATTCCTTTGTTCTGAGTGCACCTAAATGAATGATCAATAGTATAAAAATAGTTTTAGGTACTTATAATTATTCAATCTTAGATCTCATGAAGTAAACAAACAGAGTTATAGGTTTGCACACACATCATGTTTGTGAACAAGCTCAGTGAAGGTTTGTGATCATAGCTCGTTTTTAGAGCTCGCTTGGATTTATAACCAATTTTTCTTTTTTTTTCTTTCTTCTTATCAATATTGATCTCAAGCTCAATTAAAGTTTGAAAAGGAGCTCGAGTCTAAGCTCAAAAATTGCTAAACGAATGAGCCTATTGTGAGCTTGATAAGCATGTTCAAGCCAAACACTCATAACAGGGCTCATTTAGTCTTGAGCTTGAGCAACTATTTGCTTTGTCAAGCTGATCTTGAGCGGTGAGAAGCGTATCTCAGCTTGGCTTCATTCCTAGGCATACCAACCCATATCAAAAGTACCCTTTCAAGTCTCTTAACTATTACAGTGTCTAAGAGAAATTATTTTGAAGATACCTAAAAAAGATTTCTCATGCGGTGATGTGGGGGATGATTTTAAATACCACTTGATTTAGCGTGATGCATCTTGATATGAGAAATTGTTGCTCTGCTGTGTAGGAGGGATTAGGGATTTGAAAATTGGATGGAAGGGAAGAAGGGATGGAAAAGGCATTTGTAAGGAAGATCTTTCCTGTTTTTGGTTCAGTGGAAGGCGAGGAAGGGGATTATATTTTATTTTTCCATTGTACGCTTAAATATATAAATCATATGCACTAAAATGAGGGCAATAATGCCTTTTCAGTTTACCCAACAGATATTATTTTTCGTCTCTTCTCATGCTCCTAAATTTGGATGGAAACAAAATGGTGGGCGGAGTGATGCCTCATCCATCATCCCATCCTTCCCCTCTTCGTCTTCTTTTTACTAAACAATTGAAGTTTGCTCCACCCCTCATCTCTTCCCTCCGTTGTCCATTATTTCCTCCTGCCAAATATATGATGGGTGACTACTTCTCATAGATTGGAGGAAATGACTTGTTGGCCAGATTATAGTCCTTTTTCAAAAGGAAAAGTTAAGCTTAATTTTTATCATTGTGCTTTGAGAAGCTAACGTTGTTTTTGATAAGTGAGAAGCTAAAGTCAATTAGGGATAGGTTCATTATCATAGACCATTATTACAATACAATCCTTTCTTATCCTAAGTAGACAGGAATTGACTTGCTATAAAAGTAGAGATCCTAGCTCTACTCTCCACAGTTTCTTATGGGTAAAGGTTAATTTTCTGTAATTCTCTTTGTTTTTGTGGTGGTTTAGGTATCAAAAATTGAATTTTTAATGAGAGTATAGTGGAAACTGGTTGTGTAGATATGCTTTGGAGTAAGCTTATGGAGGATGATGGTAATGGGAGCCGGGACGTTGTTGTGCTGATATATGTTGGAGAACGTAAGGCTATTGATACAGCTGCGAATAAACTGAGCTATTCATGAATGGTTTTGGTTCAACTCCTTAAAGGCTTAGCTCTTGTTTGTTCATTAAGTAAACTAGCTAAGCTTGATTGTGAAGTAGAAGCTTTTGTACTTTAAAAGAGGGGAGCTTGGACAATGGTAGATTTGGCTTGTGTTGGCTTGCGGACACGTGCTCAAAATTATTATTTCTCCATAAATTTTGAAGTGTTTTTTTTTTTTTTAAAAAAAAAAAAAAATTATAGGGGGAGGGTCCACAACAGTAGCTTGCTACTTGGGCCTTCAAGCGTCGCCTTGGCATTGTACTGTTGCCTTGGCCTAGCGCACCCCCACACGATTTTTTTTTTAAGGTTCATGTCCATTTATTCGTGAATAAAATAATCGAATATAATAAAGTATAACAAAAATTAAAACAACATTTCTCATGAGTTATTGAATCACGTCTGCTTACAAATACAACTGAGCCAAGCTAGGGCTTAGGATTTTAAGCCTGTCAAGGAATTGCGAATGTTGAGATGGATGTGCTGTAAGACTAGAAAGGTTAGAATTAGAAATGATCAAATTCGGGAGATGGTTGGAGTAGCGACAATTGGAGATAAAATAAGAGAAAATAGGTTAAGATGGTTTGGACATGTGCAAAAAAGACGTTTAAGTGCGCTGGTTATGAAAAATTGACATAGTCCACATGGAAGGTAATACCAGGGGAAGAGGAAGACCAAAGCTAACCTGGGTAGAGTTAGTAAAGAAAGATATGATAGTCCTGCTATATGTAGTCCTTCGTGTTATGGTTGCTCCCGATATCTATAGAGTGTTTCTTGAAATTTTGTTTAGTTTCTAAGGTCATATTGTGATGATATAATTTGTATACTAAGTTATGGTCCCTGGGTGCTCCTTGGGTACATGGGTTTTCTTAGCTTTATGCTTCAAGATGAGCCGTGATTTGAATGTCATATGTTTTGTCTTGCAACCTAAAGAACAGTACACATGGTCGTCCCCCCCCTCCTCCTCTTCCTCTCAATAAGTAAGATTTCATAAAAGAGCGCAAAATGGGGAGCATGCCCAAATACAACTGCACAAAAAGCCAACAAAATACTAGACTTTCAAGCTATCCATATATCTACAAAGTCGTCCATAGATTTACAATGCACTCTTTGATCCAACAAATAGAGAACTCGGGATGGAGTATTTTAACTCCGAAGTAGGAGCTTCCTCCCTATCAAAGGATCTATTATTCTTCTTCGTCAACAAACTCCACCAACACCATTGGGTTATGCCTAGTTCCTCTAGGGTTTTTTTTTTGATCAGATAAGTAGGTCCTCTAGGGGTTTGATTGAGGCTTGGAGAGACTATACAGTGGATGCCCAAGCCCGCAACTTTTGGAGGGTAATGCCTTTGTGTGTGTGGTGGTGCTTATGGACAGATTTGGATAGGAGATCCTTTGATGGCAAGGAGACTCCTATTGGAGCGTTTAAGTTCTCTATTCTTTTTTCTCCTTTTTGTTGGGTATTGGGGAGAAATGTAAAATCCATGGGGAGGTGCTTATGGACAGATTTGAATAGGAGATCCTTTGATGCAAGTAGACTCCTATTGGAGCGTTTAAGTTCTCTATTCTTTGTTCTCTTTTTTGTTGGGTATTGGGGAGAAATGTAAAATCCATGGGGAGGTGCTTATGGACAGATTTGAATAGGAGATCCTTTGATGCAAGTAGACTCCTATTGGAGCGTTTAAGTTCTCTATTTTTTGTTCTCTTTTTTGTTGGGTATTGGGGAGAAATGTAAAATCCATGGGGAGGTAGTTGATTGTTTGGACTCTTTGCTAGTTTTGTAGCTTTTTGGGCCTTGTGTTGTTTCATGGGATGTGTTCCCTGTTTGAACGCTTTCTAATACAATCTTACTTGTCCAAAAAAAAAAAAAAAAAAAAAAAAACACTCCACCACAAACAAAGAGGGGTCACCCTCCAAGCATCTTAGACTTGACTGCTATCCATTTTTTTGATAAGTAAGATTGTAGACTTGACTGCCAACATCTACACTACCTCTCCAAGCCTCAAGCATGATCCTCGTGGAATCCAGCAAAACCCAATGAACACCAAAAATACTAGGAATTTCCCCCCCTGATTATTTTATTTTATTTTTTAACATTAAATACTAGGAATTTTTCCATATTACAATTATATACCTATGAAATTCTAGTGTTGCCCCCCCTGAAATTATAAAAAAAATTCACTCCCCCCCAAACCCAAATTCCTGGGTCTGTCCCTGCCTGATGTGCTTTTGGTTTAAAAACT